TAAAATTAAATACTCGAAAATAATTAATTGAGAATTAATTATTATTTAAATAATGTGATTATTTAAATTTAAATTTGAACACATCTAGATTTATCCATTTAAACTTATTTGATAAGTTGTTCAATTTAAAATTCAAATTAATTTAAGTTTGACTTAAATTAGAATTTAAATTTAAGTCAAAATTGGACTGCAGGATAAATGATGATCTTCTCTTCCTTCCCTATCTGATATTGGTGCCTATACAGGGATAAAATCCCCTATCTTGGCCGGCCACATTAAGGATAAGGAAGAGGAGATTTTGTTCCAAATTCAAATTAGGAGATAATTAACAAGCTTTATCTTAGAGATAGAGATTGAATTCCTTCTAGAAGTTTGACTTCTACTCTATAAATAAGATAATTATAGAAAATTGCGCGAGACAATTTTTTGAAACAATTTTTGCCCTAATTTGAATAGGGTGGCCGAAATTATTCTCATAGAGTGAGAGGGAAAAGTTTTCTCCAAACAAATTCCACATCGTGCATGCGTTGGTGTTTGTGGAAATTCGAGTGTTTATTGTAACTCGTTTTGTCTCATGTGTGCCCACACACACGTCTTCGTGGATTCTAAGAATTGACGTGGAAGACATTAGTTTTCTAAACAAAAAGCTTTGGAGCAAGGATTGTTCGAGGTCAAAGAACTCAAGTTATCATCCTAATCGGCCGCCGGGTATTTTTCCTAATTGAGTTCTTAATAAATGAATTAATGAGATTAATTTATTCGTGTATAAATTAATATAATCTATAGAGTATCTCAAAGGTTTTATGAAAATTTTTGTTATACACGATCCGCATCCCCCCACGCTTCTGCATCCGAATTCGATTCACAGACCAACATCGATGTCGATCGCGACGATGATTAAACTAATTTGTCAATGAAGATCTTTCTTGTGTAGGACCAACAACCGTTGTGTTTTACGCAAGAGCACCGATGGTTGCTGGCAACGACAATTGACCATGGAGAAGATGATTTGCAGGATCCCCTATCTGCTGACGAGCGATGTTAGAGAGAGAAAGAAAGAATCTTTCAGGGGAGCTGGATTGTGTGAGCATAGAGAAAAACACAAATGAATAAATGAAATACAATTTTTAAAAGAAGGGTAAATTTGGAAAACAAAACCTATAAAATAAAAAATGGCCTATTGTTTACCAAAGATTGGTAAATAGGCTACTTACTTCGAAAGGTTTGGATAGCTGGTCAATTTACGACAATGAGATATTTAGGTAATATACCATGGTTTTTAAGATTGGATTGAATTTTACTATGGGTACTAAAACTATTACAAAATATACCACAATGGCACCATTTAAGTTTCGTGTATTGAGCAAAATTATACTTGTACTTTTATATATTTCATTTAGTATCTTTAGATTTTGTGAGGGTTTGTGGTTGTTTATGTATATATTTGTGATTTTTATAAATTTTACAATTTTTGAGTTCTTTTGACTGTGACATTTTCTATAATAGTTTATGTTTGCTAGCATATGTCAATCCAAGCTTAAAATTTGTGGTATTCTTGTAAAGTGCCCTAAATAAATGAATCGACCCAGACACAATATGAGACATATATGGGCTTAATTTAAACGGACTGGGGCTCACAATTGGCATCTCTATTTTCAACCAAGAGAAAATAATAATAATTGCTTGTTGAGGAAATATGAATAGGTTACCTTCAAAAGGAAAAAGAAATTATGGATGCACATATTATTTTCCTTTTAACATTAGTTTTGAGTATATATTTTTTCATTTTTTAAGGAAAAAAAAACTAATTAATAAAATCCTTCATAAATGCTAACTAATATGTAAATTGTGTTGGGTTTGGCCCTATCCATTTATTTTGAATAGAGACGCAACAATGGGCCGGGGCCCGTGGGTTGGCCCAGGCCCATCTTGACATAGTGATGGGTTAGGCCGGCACGTCCCGTCACTGTTCATGGCACGACCCAGTCCATAAATATTAGTGGGCTGGGTTGGGCCAACATATATCAGCCCATGGGCCGGCCCGGCACAGCCTATGAAAAATCATAAGTCAGGCCAGCTTGGGCCGGCCCATCTAGGCCCATGATGTGCTGGCCCAGCCCGGCCCGTCTAAGCCCATAATGGGCTGGCTTAGCCCGGCCCATCTCAGCTCATAATATCTTCATGTTTTTTTTTTCTTTTTTTAGTAATTTTGTACACATCTTATGTATAATTATCCTTATTGTACTCTTTTTTCTTTACCAAGATTTTGTCCCACTGGGTTTTTTCTAGAAAGATTTTTATTTAATTAGGCAATCGTAAATAAAATTTTCATTGACTATTCAAACTTTTATATTTGTTAACTTGTTTAAAAATTCAAAAATAAAA